AATTTTTATTTTCTTTTAAATTAAGGCCTGTCAAGAGGCTTTCCATCAACAACAAAACGAGGTACTTCCCTGTTCTTGAGAAAGAATAGGCTCTTTTTTCTGTTAAGTTTGAAGTGCTAACAAACGAATGAATTAAAGCTTTCACTAACATTTCTGAAAAGACACCGAGCCATTGGTCTGTAGCTGACTCAGGCTGGAAGTGTGTACATAAAACACGAACGCTTTTCCTGTGCTATTGATGGTTATGTGCCTACACACAACAGTAGCCGGCGCACGGCTCACAACAGCACTCGCGCTGCCTGAGCCTGGCTCAACGCCCGGCGCCAGCAGGAGCAGAGGGCTCCTCCTGCAAGATGCACACCACCACTGCTCCCACCAGGAACTGGAGTCTGGGGGCACCCATCTTCTGCACAAGATGACGATCACCATGCCTACTCACTCCTAGAAATGGACTCAGGAAAGGAGGCCGAGCAAAGTAAGGACCTGGTCATTATTAGTTTATTGGTGCCTGAGGCTATGCTGCATGCAAGAGGCTCACCCGGCGTGCCAGGCAGCAGGAGGTGAGGACAGCCTGGAATCAGGCACATCGGGAGCTTTATGAATCGACATAACCGTGAGCATCAGCTGTCCTGGTGATCTGTTCTCTAATTCATGCACCAGCTGAAATCAAAACTGCCACACTAAACTCAGGTGGTGTGTGAGGACTGCTGGTGGGCCGGACACCCTATTACACATACCCACGGCTACTGCACAGCAGCTGTCACTCACCTCTATCTCCTCTTTTACTGTACCACGGTAATAAAATCCATCTTGTTTCCCTCTCACCAGCACAGGGACATTGCTGTCTAAGCCCACTGATCTCCCCGATGCGCTCAGCCTCTTCCATGCTGGGCCAGGGGAGGGGAGGCAGTGGCTAATCCATTGGCACCTTGAAGAAAAGAAAATGGGTCAGCACTGGGAGAAACAGCTTCTGTAGGTCATGGGGGGGGAAAAAAAAAAAAAAAAAAAAAAAAAAATCTATGAGATTTAAGAACTGGATCGCTCCACCTCATTTTGTAGCACTCCCACAGGCCAAAGCATGTGGGAAGAAACAGAAAACTTGCTTGTGCTGGGCCAATTCCTTGCTCTCGGGAAAAAAACATCAGTGCCTGTTTTTACCCAGATTTCTTTCGTTTTGGGTTTAGAGGAAGTGAGCCCAGGAGTGCGCTGGAATCCTGGGCCAGCATTACCTGCAGTAGCCCCTTTGCTGTTTACATGGCAAGCCAATGCAACCCTTAAGATCAGGAGAAAGGATCCATGTCCAGCACAGAGCACAGTACAGATGTGCTCGAGAGCGCCGTAGCTGATGGTTTACACTGGGGCATTCAGGGAACAACAGAAAAGTAGAAAAGTAAACAATGAAGCTGCTGGTTGATGACAGGTTCAAGTTCAAAACAGGAAAAATAATCCCCTGTCACAAAGCATTAGAAACATTTCACAGAAGACGGCTGCTAACGCAAGATGCTTTTATTTATCCAAATAATATTAAAGGAATGTTTCTTTGATAGCAGGTTTACTCGGGCTTTGCTTTTCGTAATCTCCAGGGTAGCAAATCACTTCAATACCAGTTAATACCATCAAAAAAACTGCCAGTGCAGGGGAGGGGAAAGCTCAAATGATGTTCAAGATGCTAATTTATTAATCTGACATACCAGCCTGTTTTATCCTATTAGATATCATGAAAAAGAACAAATCACAAGAACTTGATTCTACCTCGGGGGGGTGAGGGGCTCGGCGATCCAGGCAGGATGCGCTACAAAAAAGCTCCTGCAGCAGGGGTGGACAGTAGGTATGACGCTGGAGCACGAGAACTTGCCCAGAGCTGGCATCGCACTGCAACACCTGTGACCCGGAGGCAGGAACCCTTCCGAAC